CAAAGCAATGAATGAAAAACTGTTGCCAAAATCACATTTCTAAAAGAATAAAACTATCATCAGAAAGCAATAACCCATCAAAATTGCGCTTTGTGGATGACATCATTCAAAATATACAAACCTCTTTGCCATTAGCTAATAAAGAGAGGGGGGAGGAAATTCTGTTTGCCTCGTGAGGTACATGCGCGGCAGAATAAGAAGATTTCGATGTGCGTGTCCAAAAACCAAAAGAAAATAAGCAGCATGAAATCAGCAATAGCCCTTAATACAAAATTAATTATCCTAATAAATAAATTAATCAACTTCCCATTGCACACACACACAAAAAAAACTTTTCAGTATCTTAAAAACAGTGAAATAAGCTATGCAGATTGTCTTAAAAAGCTTTAATTAATGCAAATGTTTTCTAAAAGGAGATCTAAAGTCCAGAATCGTATGGGATTCCTGTTCAGTGTGTGTGTGTGTGTGTGTGTGTGTGTGTGTGTGTGATTATGGCAAATGGGGAAAACCACGAAAACACCCATGCAGCCAGCCGTTCGCGGAATTCGAACCTCGGCCGACTACCAGGGTTCAGCGACTTGCCGCTCGGCCCTGTGGTTCGGTCCTGTTCAGAAAACAGTGCATGCTTCAAGTCATCATCGATTCATCAAAAATTCCATGCAGTAATGAACAAGTCCGATTTTGTGTTAAATAACTATAGCAGAACAATGCTTATACAATTAACTATCCTTAAGTATGCTTTCGAGACATGAAAAACAGCAATGTGAATTTAGTCAATCGTCCATGTAGAACGGGAACATAGAACAGTTTTCTCTTTTTTTGGCGCAGGTACATTGCTATAGTTCGACGTCTAAGCGCAACCCGGTTGGCATTCTACAAACCATAAACTCGTCAAAGGATCGGTATTATTTCTGGACGTGAAGGTCTTCTCTCTCCGGAAAGAGCTATGCGGAGGGAAAGAAGTCCCATCCTTCCACCCTAGTTTATAATAACTCGGTTCGATACCCATGCGTGTTTACCTCATGTCACGGATGAGGCGGTCGAACTATACAATAATAAAATTCTAATGTTATGATTCACAGTTTAAGATGTCTACGGCTGTAGGGAAATGGTGAAACGATCGACATTTTTAGATATCATTTAAGGGGCTCTACACCTAACCCGTATTAGCTTCGAATATGTGACTGTGCAAGAATTGGATATTTATTTATTTTAAAGCAATTATTTTCCAACGGTTACAGCTGACTACAAATATCGCTACTTGGAAACTAGTAGCCACAAATATTTTTGTAATTAATCGCTTTGTGACAAAATGTTTTCGTCTTTTTCCTCCTTGTGCACGCATATTTCAAAATGGATAATGGTACATACTTGGAATTTAATGGATTCTTTATAGGGCACTATTTCTAAAGGACTAAAATCTATGATATTTTATTTAAAAAATTATGCACGAAACTTTAGATTTTTTTTTAAAAAAATACATTTTGTAAACTCAACTCCAGTAATAAAATTAACATGAAATTCTTGAATTTTGGTTAGGCAGTAGTTTCATTTTTATAAAGCTATATATAAATATGGAATTAATTGCAACAAATGTTTTAACTGTGCCCACAAGGGGGCACATGATGAACTTTTCGCACAAGCGGATTAAATATAAATATTTGTGCAACACAACTTTCTTATTACTATTGCAGAAAGCAGTTATATTATTATCAGCTGTAAAAGTCGGAAGAATTGCTTTGCAAATACATAGTATCCCAATTCTTGCAACAGTCACATATTCGAAGATCTTGTGGACTTTAAGGTGTATGATTCTCCTTAACTTTTGTCAAATAGAAGTGGCATATTCGAGGATTGCAAACAATTGTGTACTTGAAAAACAACAATACCTTTGGTGGAGCTTTTCCTTCCTTAGGGCCCTCTGGATCTTCGACAGTGGGTATAGCAACATTGTAATTGGCTAGAGTACTTAGAAATGTTGCTACGTGAGGTCTTTCTGCCATTTCATCCTGTAAAAGAAAAATGTGGGTAAATTATACTCAGAGAGTTTGAAATGTAAAGCAAGACAACAAGACTTCAAACTAGTAGACACAGTGTATTTCTTAATAAGCTTCCGGTGAACCTGCGCATGCGTGCGTTGATACTGCTCGCTTTTTGGTCAGCTCGTGAATTTTTACTCTTATTTATACACTAGCGGAAGTACCCGATACCAGTTAACTTAGATTGAGAGTAATGCCTCTAACAACAGAGAGAATGATACCGCTCTGATCCTTCTCTAATAACGATGCAAAAAATATGATTCAGAGGCATACATTTTTAAGTCTCATGCGAAACGGAAACGACATAAAAATTTCCATAGAAAAATAAACTAATTTTCTCTCATTATATCAGCAAGAATGGCATGCAGTTTTAAATGATTTTCGTCTTTCTAATCGAATGGTCGTAAAAGCTCAAGTTCAGTCCAATATCTTACCTATATTCAATTGAAGTCGATTACATCTGGCAAAAAAATACATCATAATTGATCAGAAACTAATAACGCGAATAAACAAACAAAACACACAAACAGACATTCTTCTTTATATGTATAGATTTTTGTGAAACTTACGAATTTTGATTAACAACTACGACATGAAAGCGAATGGGGTCCTTGGTTGAGTATGGAACTCGGAATTTTATTGATGGGAGAATAACACCTAAGTAAATTTCTGCAAATATCTGCAAAATATGTTAAATTTCGGTTGTTTATCTCCATCAAAAATTCGAGTTCCTACTCAAGGACCCCATCGCGATATAATTCCTGGGTATTTATAGATCCTTGCCAAGGTGTTTATTTACATTGCCAAGCTAGAGAGCCTTACAATTTCGCGTCAAGGAACAGAGGCATATATTAGAAAAAAGAAACACAGAAGTCTTCTGTTGCTCAACCATTGTTGGTCCGCAAACCACACTTCTGTTTTCGCTGCCAAAATTATTCAAAAACCCTTCCATGAGAACTGGATTTTCTAGAAGCATTCACATTCATAAAATCTTTCGTTCTAGTTAACGATCTATTCCAATCCAAATTTGCCTTCGGCCTTTAAAGAAATTATTTTTAGTTCTGGTTTCACAACAGATGGCGCCACTTGCTTATTCTTGTCCAGTTTTCTATCGTATCTAATCATTATTCCATCTTGTTCTTTTGCGTTTTGCAGCTGAAGGTGGTGGTTCGATAAAACCATTGTAAACTAGTCCTGTGAAAATTTGTATATACTCTGATTTTTGTTGTTTGACTTCGAATTATATTTATTCGGCGTGTATTGTGTCTTAAGTAACGATTATTAAACATTTTTAATGGAGTATTATTTATATTAATATGTATTATATAAATATATTAAATGCTTAAAATGGATGTATACAATTGTAACTACGATAATGTATTATCGTATTCATTAGATTTCATAATTCATTAATTGAATATAACCATATAGTTCAATATGGTAATACTGAACCATATTTAAATTGAGGATTCGAAAAATTCAAATTATTCTTACGAAAAAAAAACCAAAATTTCGAACTTCCGAATTCCGAATGTTTTTTGAGATTAAGGAGGATTTTGTGCTATTTTTCTTTAATAATGGTAATATAATATTCTTGTGTATCAGTTTAATATATACCTATATGAGCCTCAGATTGTAGTTGTTTTCGTTTCTGTGCTTGGTCACTAGTATCAATATAGAGTCGTATTTAAACCTTTCCCGCACGCTACCTCTTAAAATTCGGAGTTTTGATTTAAAAAAAAAAAAAAAAAAAAAAAAAAAAAAAAAGTAGGCAGTCTAATTAGGTCTAGAGGAGTACACAAGTAAAATTTTGTGAAGAAGCACTTATCGTGTTATTCTGTGGGTGTGCTCAAAGTGGAACAATCAATGAATAAGCTCGAAAAGAGTACTGAAACGATCATTGCTGTCAATGAACTGACCGATGAGATGCGGAGAAACAGAGAACTACAGATCTCAGTTTGTTCTAGATGATCCGTGAGCCCGGCCTGGGCACACCTAGGGTTCGCGTTTGTTTTAGCAAGATTTCAAGTAAAAATTTTAAACTAATATAGAATAATAAGATTAGCATACAGCCAAAAAATAACATAGAAATTTCTTTTCAAACAATTCCTTTTATACCCTAAAAAAAATCTGGAAGATTCTCTGAAAAATGAGGGCCTTAAAAAACTAAACATGGCTAAAATATATGGACTGGTTTGTGTTGAGCTGCCATCTACTACAAATAAAAAAGGTTCAGAGTAACCTATAAATCCTTTTTCATTCAATTTTTCTGTGCGTACAGAAGGAAATTTTTAAGTATGCCCAGACCTGACACACTGTGCCGCAAAGGGTTAATGAAGCACTGTTAATTTTTGTGACTCTATGCAGTAAGTATAGGTTATAAAGTACTTGGTTGAGCACAACGAGGGCGCCATAACAAAATATTAAACCTGTCAGTACGCTGGCAACTGGAAACCCCTGATTTAGACACCTAATAGGCAGCCACCATTACCTCCTATGAAGGGACTAAAAATTTATAATTTATATCCATGCCTTTTCCGGGAGCATATTTCGTAAGTGTACATCTGTATCGCCACCGAGGAATTGGCTTCTAAAATGGACCAATGGGATTTTAGTAATATTTCTGTCATTTCATATCATAACGTATTTCTCCCGCTTTCTTAGCATGCCTTCGTAGTGTAGTAGTCAGCACCCTGGGCGCGTATTCCAGAGGTCCGTGGTTCGATTCCCGGCGCAAAGGCGTTCTCATTTTTCATCACTCCTGCTTTAAAAAATATTTCGTGTCTCTACACTGGCACCCGAACTTAAAAAGGGGCCGAATAATGATTCTCCACTCCCACGATTTGGCGATTCGGTCCCCTAAAATCCAGTCGCCATTTAAAAGGGGAAGTGTATAAGGTATTTCTTCCGTCTTCTTAGCATGCCTTTGTAGTGTAGTGGTCAGCAAGCTGGGCACGTATTCCACAGTTCCGTGGTTGGATACCCGGCGAAAGTGTTGCTCATTTTTCATCACTTCTGCTTTTAAAAAAATACCTAATATCTGTACAATATGACCTTTACCGAGCTTTAAGCAAGATGGTTGAAAATGTTTTGCCGCGCAATTTAATGTACAAAATAATTAACGCATCGTGGAGTTGCCTTGTGAATTCCACGATGCTTTAATTATTTTGTACTAGGTTGTCAAACCTTGTGAAAATGTTCAGTACGAAGTAGATCAAGTGTAAGCATAATTATATACATGTAAATAGCAGAAGGTCTTAGCATTGTTTACTGCAATTTATATGAAAAAAAGGTTATAAAATAATAGTAAATGTTCAGTTTTATTCAAAGTGAACTTTTATAATTTGCATTCGTACACATTTAGTGTGTTAAATTTCACATTAATAACTGTTCACTCTTAAACATACGTATAGCGTATTTACGCTAAATACAAGGTTGTTTTTTACGATTTTGATTAGCAACACTTTAGTCTAGCAACTCATGCCACGGAATATAAACGCTGAGTCGCACAGATAACTTCAGTTGCGGCTCATCCATGGCTCTTGAAATACGAAATATTACTGAAAATTAAGTGCAACAAAATTAATCATATTAATTTAAAAACGTTTTGTATTGGAGAATAATGAGAAAAATTAACTTTAAAATTCAAATTTTTTTTAAATATATATTTTTATTTTGTTAAACTTTATTTTTATATCCTTTATAAACAGCGTATTTTTAAAAAATCTCATTTTAAAATTAATTTCTCATTAAATGCAGATTTCAGATTTTCCTTCAAAAAGGGTTTACTTTCGTGTAAAAGTTTTTTTCCCCTTTTCTTTGTATTAACATCCTGAGAGCACGGACGCGGAAAGGCGACAATTTCTTATAAAGTATCTTTCTGAAGAAGAATTTCAACAAAAATATAGTATTTCGGTGATCTTTCAATAATTGTACGGTACTTTTGTGGTGTTATAAGGTATTTCTTCCGCCTTCCTAGCGTGCCTTCGTGGTGTAGTGGTTCTGCGTGCTGTGCCGGTATTCCAGAGGTTCGTGGTTCGATTCCCGGCGAAGGTGTTGGCTGCTTCCAATTTACCTAATGTCTCTACAGTGTGAAATAATTTGCCATTACCAGTCAAACGGCTACTCACGGAAGCTATTTGAAAAGGTGAAGACGTTTTTTGGGGCTTAATGCTCTTTAACTATCAGGACGATACGAGGTGAGTCGTATATAATCAGACATAAAATTTAAACAGACTTTTATTAGCTATTTCTAGCAGCTTTTGCAAAATTTAAATTGATGACATAAATTAAACGTAATTGTTCTCGAGCAAAATGCTTTGAAGCAAGCTTGCCTTGATGCTAATATTAGCAATAATAACGTAAATGTCAAGCCTACAAACTTATGGCAAAGGAATGGATATGACTAACTTTTAGAACATCTTATCAGGCATTGCCAATAATTCTAGGTATGTCCTTCATTATTATTATTATAAGGGACGTAAGCAAGCAAGATGACAGCAACACGATGGGTTCTGGCTAAGATTAAAAACTTACTTTTTAATTATACCCATTGCCATTCAATTTAGGCAAACTTCCTGTTTTAAGGGAGCCTCACAATGAGCCAAAAAAAGAAATAAGATAGCATTTAAAAACCAACGGTTATTAAAACTTAATAGCTATTGCAAGCTTATAATGCGACATCCTTTTTATAAACAAGCATTTGTTGTCCTAGAAAGCCCTTGGACAAAAGGTCGTTAAATTTGTAAAATTAGAAATTCTGTAGAAAATATCTCTTTTGTAAAAGTATGCAAGCGGTATATATACTCCATATTAGTTTAATTACTTTCATTTGCTTTTCAGTTGTACACTAGTGGGCTGTGGCCCCAAAACAATTTATCAGTTCTGTGTACACCTGAAAAGAAAATGACTAAAAACATTTCATTATGAATGAAATCAGTTCATTCTTTCCAAGCAACAATCTATTCGTAAATAATTTTTATTGCCAAAAAAGAAAACAAAAACTTTTGACACTTCAGGTTACTATTTATGACGTCATGATTTAAATGTAATGTAATATAACAATATTTTCTCATCAATAAAAGAACTAGCGTGGCATTAATAGATCGTGTCAGTTATACTGACCTGAAACAAAAAAGTTGCCAAAGGCACCTATTTATTTAAAATGCTGACATTAATGAAAAAAAAAAAAAAAATCTGAAATGTTTCAGATTTTAAATTGCGTCCAAAGGGGCGTTTTTTTAACGTTTTGAGTGTTACCTTTATTTATTAAATATCATGTTCTTTGCACTTAAAACCATAAAATTCAGTTCAAGAGCAATATCGCAAAATAATGTTAAATTAAGCATATCTTTAGAATTTCCGATATACACAGTCTCGCGAGCTGGAGATAAAAGTATTTTTTTTCTATATAACGTTGCCTTTCTCTTTGCTTTAAAGCATTGAGTTGTAAATCAAAAATTCGTTAAAGTTTTACAAAATATAAAATCTATAATAAACAAATTCCAAATTTGGGATTTCAGATGCCCATATTCGCAGTAGGATTTTTCGTCATTCAATTCGATGGCTCTATGTACCATTGTTTTATCACAATGCGGAGAAATAGACAATCATTTATGCAGATTTTCATTATTTAATTTCTTTCAAATATATGGCAGACTCTAACATTTTGTGGCAACAGTTTGAAAAGTGAAACCGACGTTTATGAGTCCGACGCAAAATCGCAAAACGAAAACAATAGTCCTTCAGGGACAAAGCCCCTTTGGACTGAAAATGTTCGACATACAATGACGTCACATGCAATCGCGTACTTTCTCCAACGTCAGAATATTTCCTTATATAATAATTATATGTTTAATGTTTGGCACTACTATTTTTATTTCCTATTTTGTAAAACTTACAAATTTTTTGTTAATAAACTCTACTATTTGTAAGCGAGCAGTGGCAACATTTTTCGAAACAAAGCAGATCTTCAGCGCGCAAGACTGCTGCCACTCAGAAAAATGAGTGCGAAAATTAGTTTTTTCGGAGTTTTTAATTAATATCTCGGCTGATTAAAGTCATGGAAGCAATCAAAATGGCTTCCCACGAATTTTTGGAATCGGAAATAATATACTTAGTGTTTGGCGATGCTATTTTTATTTCATATTTTGTAAAACTTAAAAATTTTTTACTAAGAAACTCTACGATTTGAAAGCGAGCAGTGGCAACACTACTCGAAATAAAGTAGATTTTTATCTTGACATGCGAGAGACTGTTGCCACTCGGAAAAATGAGTGCAGAAATTAGCGTTTTCAGAGTTTTTAATTAATATCTCAGATAATTAAAGTCCTATGGAGATGACAATAATAGAAATGGCTTCACATGAATGTTTTTAACCCAGTGGTACCTTTTTGAAGCTCAACTCCACACCATTCCGGAGGAGATAATGCCACAGACAAACAAACGGATGCGTTTAATAGTATAGATTCTTGCGACTTATGAAACCACGTCATATTAATATTTAAAGCCACAATAGTAGATCAGAATATTAGACGTAATTGAATTTTAATTATTTACCCAAGCATAGAGTTATATCTAATGAAAACTGGTGCCAAATATTCACCGATGAACATTCTAATATTTACCTTATTTCAATGACAATAAATAATCTTTCAATGAATTTACATTGAGAGCATATTATTAGCAAAGGTACTGTTTTTTAATTTATTTTTAATCACGTCAAATAATAGTTAGCAGAACGCTCTTTATTATTCGATGTTCATACGACCCCTACCCAGGGACAGCTCCGCTGTATTCACCACTCATTGTTCGAAACGGCGTTGGAACTTACCTATTATTCGTAGTAATATATCGCTTTGGATGGCAGCTCTAATGCGGTTCTCCAATTCCAATAATATGGCTCAATAATTCTGAAAAATCTCTGGCTTTAGTTACGACATTAGAAAAATTTAGCTTCTATTAGATCGGGGAACCGGAACGGCCAAGGAAAGTCCACCAAACGACAAACTAATCTCCGCGAAGAGATATAAAGCAAGAAAAGCCTTGATATCGTTGCCGTTTTATTTGAAATAGATTTTAGCGAAGCTCAAAGGTCATCATGTCAGCTATTAGAGAAAAGAGATAAAATGATAACCTATTAGTTAAAAAAAAAAGTGACGTGTCTTCTGCCAAGCAGTAATATGTGACATACATTATTGTGATCAGAACGCTGCCCCATCCTTATATTAAAAGCTTATATTAATAAGTATTATTAAAATAATTGTAGCAGAAAATAGTGAAAATATAAGAGAAAATATTTCTCAGAGTACTGAACTTACGCTATAAAGATACAGGTTCTTATCGAAATTTCCAGCCTCTTTATCTCCACTCGCAGCATGATCGTCAGACTGATGGCCATCTCCTGTCAAAGAAGGATATCTTATGAATATTTCAATGACTAAAATTTAAAAGACATTAAATTAAGAATTTAACTATATCATCATAGCTACTGTACAGTTTGGCTATCTTGAATGCTATCCAGAAATGTAAGAATATTAATTAAAAAAACTAAAACGAAAAGAAAATCTGAAAGCGTTCAGATTTTAAATTACGTCCAAAGGGGACTTTTTTACATTTTGTGTGTTACTTTATTTATTAAATATCGTGTTCTACGTAATCAAACCATAAAATTCAGTTCAACAGCAATATCGCAAAATAATTTTAAAATGAGCATATCTATGGCAATTCCGATACGCAGTCTCGTGTACTGGAAATAATTCCCTCCCCCCATACAGTGTTGCCATTGCTCTCTTTGAAATCGTTTAGACTTTTATCCAAAAATTTGTCGGAAGTGTTACAAAATATTTAATGGCTCAAGGTACCGTTGTTTTATCACGATGCGAGAAACATACATACATTCATGCAGATACTTCATTATTTAATTTCTTTAAGTATAATACAGAGCTCTAATATTTGGTGGCAACAATTTGAAAAGTGATTCGCCGTTCACAGTTTTCAATGAAAAATGCCAAAACGAAATTAATTGTTCTTCTTGGCAAATTGCCTCTTTGGACTAAAAAAATCTGAAAGCTTACATTACGCCCAAAGGTACTTTTTTTTTAACATTTTGTGTGTTACCTTTATTTATTAAACAGGATGTTCTTTTGCACTTAAATCATAAAATTCAGTTCAACAGCAATACCATAAAATATTTAAAAGAGAATATCTTTAGAATTTTCGATACACAAGCCCCCGAGCGGATATATAAATATTTTATATATATATAATAATATTTTTGTAAATGTACAATGTTGCAATTGCGCGCTTGAAATTGATGAGTTTATTAATAAAAAATTCTTTAATGTCTGGCAAAATATGAAATAGATAATAAAACAAATTCCAAATTAGGACTTCTAGATGCCCATATTCGTTGAAGGATTACGTTATTCAAAATTGGATGGCTCTAGGTATCGTTGTTTTATCACAATGCGAGAAACATATAAACATTTATGTAGATTCCTCATTATTTAATTTCTTTAAATATAATATATGGTTGTAACATTTGGTGGCAACAGTTTGGAAAGTGAATCGAAGCAAAATGCGAAATCGAAATTAATAGCTCTACTGGGCTAACGTCTTTTGGTATAATTATATGGGGGAACTGTAACTGAGTAAGATTATATTAAAGCGCCATCTAGACAAGCACGTGTTCATCATCCACACTTGAATATTTGAGCTCTTAGACACTAGTTCAGGTTTTATCGCCTCTTACAGCGATTTCAGCCAGACTTACGTGTAAGTATCTTTATGGTATTAATGGTGACTCTTCCCGGCGTTACTTAACGGTATTATTTCGAACAACATGAAAACTAGGAAAAAAGGCAACCAGAGTGCGAAAATGAACGAAGTCTCATCTCATTCTTCAGTTTATCCACCAAACTCCCCCATTTGGAGATTAGAACGTATAAACTTCTTAGAAACTGATAGAGAATATTAAGAAAATTATCAATAAAAATTCCACTCCACGTAACTGCCCTTCTAAATGCTTAAAACTCAGGAAATTAAAAAAGATAAAACTGAATGGCGAACGTCAACCAAAACCTGCAGAGCAATCACTAATTTAACTACGAAATCTGATATACCACAAGAAAATAGATTTACTACCCTTGATACCGAACAGATAAGAACCGAAAATATATCTTCAGGAAAAATCCCACCAATTGCTATCACTGAAAGGAATCCAGATTGGAAATCCATTCACAAAATGTGCACGAAGATTTGTAAGTACAGCATCGAAGCAGACATGAAAAATAGAAGAATATACCTTTAAACCAAAACTTTTGGTGACTTCCAAATTGCAGTATAAAAAGCTTAAAAAATCAGGCATACAATTTCACACCTACCAATTAAATAATGAAGCTACTACTAAAGTGATTTTGAAAAATATGCACAGCACCATCACTGAATCAGAATCTTTCTCAAAGGTTTCCCGATAATTAAAGTAAAACCGAAGAAAATAGAAAATCATAAAATTTTACAACCGATATGCTTTCTTGAATTTCACCGCAATTCAGCAGGAGAAAATATTCATAGACTCATTCATATTTTCGATTTTATCATTATCATTCGATTTTATCATTATCATTGAAAAATACACCCTCAAGAAAAGACCCGTCCAATGCTATATAATTGCCAAGAGTTCGGCCATTCGCAAAAAAATTGCTTTAAACAGACTAAATTGTTAAGGTATGTGCCTACATAGGAAGCACTTTTTTGAAATACATAAAATTTTTAATAAACACACATGTTTTTGGGTAAGATGGGATATAAAACTATGAATTTAAATGGGATTTTACAGAACTTTTTATTAATTTTTTTTAAATATACGCAATATTTAGTAAAATTTGAGTGAAAATTTTCATTTACGTCAGATCTCCTATGATAGATTCTAATGAACATAATTCAACAATCTTTACACAGTATATAAATAACATACTTACCTGTGTTCTGTAGCAAAAGATTTGCTGTAGTTCTAAAATTTTTTGACATATTCCAAACTTGTTACAAAAACTCAAAATTAAAACATCCCGCGAACGGGCTGGCTGCATGGGCGTTTTCGTGGTTTTTCCCCATGTGTAACGTGTATACGAGCCAGTTTCCGTTAGAGAGTCCTCCACGAAAGGCATCCCTCCCCTTAGGCAGATAGCCCTAGTGTGCTTTGCCGTATTCTCAATACACCAAAATTAAAACAAAAACAGAAAAAAAAAAAAAAAAAAACCTCCTCTTTTCTTCAAAATACTATCAATAAATAAATACAAAGAGGTCAGATTTTGCTACAGAACACAGCTAAAGATGAATAAAACATTTTGGCAAAATTTCATTTATATTCTAAATATATTTTGAGAAATTAACGTAATTGGAATCAAAAGTAAAGAAAAACACAGTTTCTCAGAAAATGCATTTAAAGACTTTAATACATCACAAAAAATTATGTAGCCATTTTAGACTTTTAAAACTCGCCGTATTTGTATGTTAGGCCCTCTTTTGCTTTATTTTTAACCAATTTTGACTTTCTTTTAGCATTTTCTGAAAACCTTCGTTGCTTGTAGAGATTGGCGTTTCGATTTCTGAATTCGCTGTTTGTCTATTCTCACGTAGTTTTAAGTATAATGGGATTAATTTATATTTCTAGATGCCTGAAAATAGGTAAAAATCCTAAATATCTTGAATTAAATAATAATACAGCAATATGTACACCTAAAAGCGATGTTCTCATTCAGTTGGACAAAAGTTTCTTTAGGTAAAATAGTCCTCAAAAGGTTATTAAAACACTCATTATTGTTTTGAGTCTTCCCATGTCGGCATTTTATCAGCAAAGTGTCCCACAGTGAAAGATGTGTTGCTTTTACAGCATTCATACTGTTTAATAATTAGAAAATAGCTGTTTAAACTTATTGTTTACATTTTTACGGCCATTCAAATGTCAACTTCCGGCATCAAAAATTCACTTCCGGTTTATTATTTATACTATAACTTTGCTTCTAGTTATCGTAAAAACAAAAATAAAGCATTTTGGGAAACCTAAATGTGTGGCCTATAAAATGAATTAATAAAAATCTAATGTGCACACCACATGTCTTCCTTGTACGAAATATTAAATTATACGCATTTTTTTCTTGCATTTCATTTAAACTTGTTGGGTCGAACTAAATCTACTTCGCCGATAGCTCATAAACCACAATAGAATAAATGCACTCTTTAAAATTCACTCTATTTGCTTACCATAGCGACACTCCTGGCGCTAGGTTTACTTAACAGCGTTATATTTCGTTCATATTATAATTCAGAATGCACAAAACTTATATCATTTGAAGAATTATCTAATCGTTGCCACATGTTCTATTCAAATACTATAATAAATCTAGAACTATGTATAAAAGAAATGAAGCAAACAAAACAAAACAAAACAAAAAAATAGTTTTTCACATATGATTCAGTATTTCTCATTCAATTAATTCAGTTCTCACTTCGGGACAAGGCAAAAATACATAAAAACTCAAAATATCTATATTAAAAGTTATGAAGTAAATCTTAAACACTTATTTTCTCGAAAAAATTTCCAGACAGGATTAAGCATGATTTAATTCGCAATAATAAATGAAGGCGTTATCTTTGTTGTTGCGAAGCTTAGTCTCTCTAGATTGGTAACAAATCTACTATTCTGCTGTTTCAAATGTAAACAAGCATGTCCGCCATGTTATTTAAAAATTAGGCTTGAGCGTACTTAAATAGCTTTTAATTTGTTCATAATTGTACAAATATTGCTTTCAGATTTCTTAAAGGCATAAAAACCTTAACCGGAAGATATGAACATCATAATTCAATCATTTTTAAAGCAAAAAATGCACAATTTACAAACATATAAGAGTAAAGAAACTGAGATCACTGAGCCGGGTAACAGAGTGGATATAGTGTATATAAATAGATTTATATACGTTTGCTGCGGCCGATTGTAACCAAAATACGAGGTGCACATCTGCATGTTATAGCACTCTTATATACAAAATTTCACCGTTTTGAGGCTACTCGTTTTTGAGTTATGCGAGATACATACGTACGTGCGTACGTACAGGCGCAGACACCATGAAAAATTCTCTTCACAATTCATTTTAAAGCAGTTTTATAATTTTTTTTTGGAGGAAAAGATTCTATTATTCTGTCCTTACATACAGATGTCACGCAAAAACATCGTTAAATTTCATTCCATAGCAGTCAAAATGGATATTTTCGTTGAAATATACTGCCTGAAACTTTTCGGGATTACAATACTTCCTTTTTACTTCGTACAAGGAAATAATATTAATAATAATAATAAATTTTTTACCAAAACGACGAATTTAGGGTAGGCACATACCTTAAATGCACCGGTAACTACAGAAGTAATACTTGCACTTTTAAAGAAGGAAAATC